GTATGTTCTGAATGTCTCAAATTAGAAATGTCAAACTAAAATTAGAAGTCATGTAAATGTCATATCGATGTCATGTAAATGTCATAACTTTTAGTTATATAAGTTTCTTAAGTTATTTGGGTCTATTATACTAAGTATATTCTTTTGTATAATTGTAACGAACAGCCGAATTTATTGTCTAGTACAGTAGGGGCTTTTTAACCTATACCTATAAATATTGTTTTAAGATCAGCCTTTGCTGTGCGTCTGTGGTCCTTTTTTTTTTCCTTTACGGAAATCCCGTTTGGATATCACCCACCCCACCGGGGTGATTATGTCGGACTCGAACCGACCAAAAACCGCACGCCGTCTCGGGTACCAGTAGCCGGGGAACCTGGTGTACCCTAGAAAGGAACTCCCTGGTACCCCGACGTACTTCGGGCCATCCACGGCGTGTAGATGGCCCCCTCCCGTGTGGTGCGTCTGTAGTCCTGGTAGCAGTAATATAATTATAAAAGGGCTTTATGAATGAAGTGTCAATCTATGAGCGATACAAAACTGATTTTAATCAAGTGACCTTCTGTGATATATATATATATATATATATATATATATATATAGCGTACATTCATTTTATACGAGTATTAAATTCTAATTTACAGCATGCTATATATTTGTTACTGTCGAGTAAACGATTTTATGTTGTAATTCCGCAACACCAATGTATAATGTCTTTACCTATCACAAATACGGTAAATATAGTACCTAAGACCTAAAACATTATATGGATATCGATTGTAGGTAAAATTAAGGTAACAGGTTAGTCAACAGTCAAGTTGTTGGTTCAACAGTTTGTCCAAATATTTGTACAAGCTGAAATATTAGGACACTCCCTACAATCACCTTAATAGACTTCTAGTAACTAGAACAATACTCGTAGACTTCCACTTATATAGGTACATTAGTGACGTCTCAAAGAATCTTTCAAGGAATTTTAGGTTGTAATAAAACATTTTTTGCAAAATTCTATATCTCAATAGGTTGTAATAAATATCTCATTATTTGACTAACAGTAAATAAAGTTGTGGCGGGAATCTATATTATTTCTAGTGTAGAGCAAATTGGTGCAATCATTTGTATGCGTTTTGCGTAGGCAACACATTAGAATTTTTGGATGACATAGCGAGCGAACATAGATGCGAAATTTAAGAATTTATCAGAGGTGATATGAAAAGTGTCACACTAACCGATTTTTTAAAGTAACCGTTGAGATATAGTCTGATGATGGTGGTATGACTTAAGCCATGTACAACATTTCATTTATAAATATAGTAGGATTAAAAGACAACACAAATGAATGAAGTAATGAGCAGGCCGGTCACCTACACATTTCGACTTTTGAGGTGGGTGTACGATTTTTTTATTGCGTTTGCTAACTATATGAAAATAAGGACAACCATATATGTCATATACAGATTGGTCTCGTAATAAGCTTTGTGTTAACCACGGAAAGTGGAACAATAAAGCGATGAAAAGAAAATCAATAACTGTATTTATTTATAGCTAGACAAACTATTTAACTAATTGAATTTGTAGACTAGTTAAATGAATAATAAAGGAGTCTACAAGTTGTTATTTTAAAGTTTTAAGGAGTAATTGTACAGGTGGCTTCCAACAGCAACTGAAGGATTTGTATTTAAACGAATCTTATTTCAAATGCAGATAAAAACTAAAATTAAAAGCCAAAAGGCGAGTAAATAAGTTTGTTTGATTTTTACGTTTACATATTTGTAACTTATCTCTTGTATGTTTTAAATGTTTTCAATAAAGATATAAATAAATAAGCTTAATGATCAAAATATTTAAATAAAAAAAAAAGAGAATAACTATGTGTGATTTCAGTAAACTATTCCTGCCGGATTCCTGTGATATTTTTATATGTTGTGATTTCCTTGCCTTATTAAAACCGTACCTTAAAAAACATTAGAAAAATAACTAAAAAACTAATATAGAATAATAAAATGGAAAGTTAAAATTACTCGTAATTATGTATCGACACAAGCACTCGTATGTGCTGTACCGTATCTATTTTCTAAAGAAATTATAACTAAGACAGCAGCTAGTGGTATACGTTTCATCACGGACCTATAGGTTCATCTCATTACATCATACATCATAAATTAATTATTATGAACAGTAAAAGATATAATTAAAATTCGTCAAAATACGAAATTGCATATAATTGATATGACATATTACTCGTATATACAAACCTCAAAACAAAAATGTCCATTTTGTTATTGCATGTTTTTAGTGACGGTCGATTACTCCTACTATGTCACGGGTATGGTACCTTTTAAGTATGAGACCAATAGAAAATGAAAACAAAAACACATAGTACAGGCTATTTAAAAAAAATAAACTTGCTGGTTTTTCAACGTGATCATTCGGGTAAAATAATTAATTTAAAAAAATACTTTGGAAAAAGTCGGTTTTAAAACTAATAATAATATCACGTTGAAAAACCAGGCATTTATATATTTTTTTCTATCTGAACTTTCTCAGCCTGTACCAAGAAAACATTGTCATAGTTCAACTTTTAGACTCGTTTGTTTTTCAAATAGCGAATACTCACGGTGTTATGTTATTTATAATCCTCATTAAAATTTTCGGTGTATTATAAATGATACAACAGAACCGTACCACTGGGGTGTCGGTTACAATTTTTTTTTGGAAACGACACCACTGCTGACTAGTTATGTACAACGTGAAATAAAACAATGAAGTTTTTAATTTGTTAATTTTTAATGATAATGCTGAAATTGGCCGAGTTCACAAGGGATTATAACTAAAACATAATAATTGTATCCATTACAATACAAACAACTAGATTAATTTAAACAATCCGATATTTTAAAATAACTATTTATTTTTTCACCGTATCTTTGTTTTACTTCATTCTTTGTCATGGTTGTGATTGTCCGAATGAAAAATAATTGATATCGATTAATGAATAAGTTTTGTGTCAGAACTATATTCGGTGGCGTCATTACGAAAAAAATTGTAAACGAAAACCCAGTGGCGTGGTTCTGTGGTGTCGTTGACATCACACGAATTTACACAAAAGTTAAGAATCATGTTTTCACAAACATTACATCAATTTAAAGTAGGACGTCTCTTACGACTGCTTATTAAAAGTCCTTTAATTTTATTTAACATTTTTCTATAGTTACTATTCGGTGCTTCATGAATTTGAACTTCAAATAGACTCATGATGCCCAATATAGGTAAACTATTAGGCACGAGGTTTCTTAGTACTCATCTATTGTTTATACAAGTAGATTTTATCAGATGAGATAATCAATTTGACGGGACTGTTGGTCCAGCGCTTAGCAATCCTGACTGCTAAACCAAAAGTCGTAGGTTCGCTTCCCACCTAGGACAAATATCATCATCATCGATCGATCATTTTTATTTTTCTGTGTGTAATTTATTTTCAATATGTATGTAGTTAGAAATATGGAAGTACGTTTATCAGCAGTTTGGTCACCATTGTACAGGCTCAGTCTAGTTTGGGATCAGATGGACGCGACCTGTGTAACTAATGACAAGTAATTATTTGATGATATTAAAGCATGTAGTAAAGTCGTGAAATTTATGTTTGTAAGTAAGGTGAATCATGGGAGCCACACATCTGTGTAGAAGGACGCACCGACTCCGTAAATATCTTATGACGCAGTTTAATACGTCGTACCCACATTTCAAAGAATGTCTCTTCCATAATTAAATAAACGGATTTTGCATTCCGTTTATAAATATTTGTTTTTTTTTACTTAGAGATTTTTTTGTAAAATCAACAGCGAGATTTTTGAAAAAAGCTCCTAAAGATCCTAAGCCGTTTAAATAAGAAAGTTGCTCTATCGTTAGAAAATTTATAGTTTAAAAAAACACGCTTTGTAGCTAGCCGAACTAAAAAGTAGGAAATAATTTTCTATCAGTTCAAACAGAAAGATAATTTTATTGTAAAACAGCGTGGGGTCCTAGATCTCTTTACTTTACTGACAGATATGGGTAAAAGTAAAGTTATTAAATTGTAAAATGCCTTACTAAGACACTACCGTATTTTTAGGTATGAAAAAAGCCCTTAATCCTGAAGGTCTTGATCGGAATAATGAGACAAACTATTTAAATTATTGCATTGACATCAGTCCTTGATAAGTGTGCAGTTTCAATTTAATTTGACGTTTTAAAGTTGGTCATAATCACGTTCGAAGATTCCGTTACATACGTATGTATGTTAGCTAGTAAAAGTAAACAGTGTTTAATAACTCTAATTAGTGTATGATTATGTTATGTCACCAGATATCTTTAGCTAAAGCTGGGTTAAGTGACCAAGAGCCCTGAAACATTTGTATTGAGAATTTATATATATCAGTGACCCTACCACAAGACGAGCTTTTGCTTCATTTAGTTGTTGAGAATTATTTACTAATTTAAAAGTAAAGTATTTATTAATTTATTTTTAATGTTAATGTCAACCTCTACCTATTGAGTTAGGAGAGAGAGAGAGAAGAAGATAGAAGAGAGAGAAAGATTTATTTTAAATAAAACAAATTGAATTAATAAATGAATTAAAATTTAAAAAAACACAAAAAATCCGTTTTATTTTCTTTTCGTCTAAAACTATATTTTGATTCTCGTACATGACAAATTGCACGAAACACAAACAATGACAGTTATTGAATCTTCATTAATTATATCTTCAGTTTTTTTTAAATTAGAATTCTCTTTAAATAAAATAAAACAATCAGTTGTTTTCAGTAAAGGTCATATTAAACTGTACGCAAATTATATATAGCGCGAAATCGTGATTTTGTTCCCATTAAAACATTAAGCATAGACAATTTATAACACATTACTTAGACAAACACAAACACTCAGATCAACCAACCCCATTTATTACAAAAGTTTCTTTATTAGAAATACGAACACTTTGGAAATAATCTGTATGAGATACTTACCACTTAACGGGATGAAAGCCACGCTCAGGATTGCCCAGACACGAAACTTTCTATCGGATAGCGCCATCTGAATTCAAAATCTTCAATCATTACTTGTATTTATTTTTCATCACTAACGCAATTATATATTTTACATGACGTAATTGTACACACACTCGAACTTTTTAAATTTCAAACAATTTTAAACAACACATTCGAACTTATCGTACAAAATCGCCATGTAAAGTTCCGCTAAGAGATATGAAATTACTTTTTCTGTAGTGTATCGTACAATGAACGATGTCGTGTGTAGACCAGCGACGACTACGCGTCGACTATTTCAATTTCGTAGCGGCCGTGCTCGTAGACCTACGAGGCTAAGTAAAGATTTGTACACACGATACAATATGTAATAATGACAATATAAATAAATTAAATTGATAACCTTTTGTTTCTATCGATGAAATAGAGGTTATAATGATTGAAACAAATGTTATCAATTTAGTTGAATGTTTTAATAGTAAGTTGTTCTTATTAATTTAATACATAATATTCAATTTATTTTTATTAGATGAGATGGTAAATTTGCAATTATATTGCTATAGAAGAAGATGAGATAATATATTATTTACATGTAAATAAATGTATCATTAAATGGAAATTGTAGCAAAAAATCTCCCAATAGTTTGAACTCCCTGATCCGTGATTCTGAGGACGAAGTTTAAGTCACTCATTGATAATAAAGAGTTTGCAAGTCGCCTTTCTTGGAATGTCAATATAGACTATATAATAATATTTACATACATGCGTATAAATAATTGTTGTATTCCATAATGTACTTAATACGTTTTAAACGTAACATATCTCCACCATCATACCATACCAGTTTCGAATCGTATGCCTAATAAATAAATTCGCAATTTAGAATTGCAGTTTTGCATAATAAAATGGCGAAGTAAGACGTCTATCACTTGGGAGAAGCATGAAACAAAGTAACTTTAGTTGGAAGCAGTGGAAGCAGAGACCCGTTTATCCCATTTCTTCAGGGTTACCTATCTTGAAGAAACAAAATAGACGGAAGGATAGAAGTTTTATTGTTTAGTGCTACTGAGGCTGAATATATGAAAAACAAAATTGGTAGATGACGGTAGTTGTAAAAAACCGTGCTGTGTCACATCGACCAATTTTGGCCTATGGCCATGGCCAATGGCCTTTGGCCTATGAGCGGACCTAACTAGTACAGTATCTTTAGTTTGTATTTATTGTGAAAATGATTTTCTAATTTCTCTGAAAATCTTTTCACTTTAATAACGTATAAAAAGTTGTCTAGCTAGATTAATATTTATCTGTCTTACATAACGATCCCTTACACTTTAAATATTATTGCCATTATTCCATTATTCTCTCATAATCTTGAAAGCGAAGTCTAGTGTTCTTATCTGTTAGGCATAATAAGATAACATGATGAAATATTTGAGGATGTATCATGATGTGGCAAGAAATATTTTAATCACCTTCAGATGTATTAAGATTAAATCCAAGTCTCGGAGAGCCGGCCTGCTGCTTCAAGACAACCTTGGCGGTATATAGGTTTCTTATCTTAATATATTGAATTAAAATTAAGCTATGGGGTATACATCTGACTGTTTTTCTATAATCAAACAAACGAATTATCAGTAAGTTAATATGGTAGAGCATGTTATGTCCTACAGAAAGAAACTTACATAACCGATTATGATGGCCCACATCTTAAGAAAGATACCTATATTTTATCGAACTGTGCTGAGTCCGTATATTATTCTAAGACATAGCCATTTCCCACTTGTTTGCCTCGACATAAAGGAGCTTCTTAGAAAATAAGGTCGCTCTTTAGAAAATACGATCGTGCGGGGACAATAAATTGAAGCATGAATAAACACTCGAGAATATGGATTACTTACCCAAACACCGAGTGTTTATGTCTCTTCAATAAGTTTTATAACTACTTGCTTGTATATTACACATACTTATAAATATATAAACTAAATTTAATTTTAAAGTATTAAAATCGGTTAATATGGAAGAACGTCCATGCGACGTTTAACAGTCGAACAGAACGATATGATACGTAAATAATTAAAGAACAAAAACATATTATTTTCGGTCAATTTTATTGTTTACGAACCAAAAATAATATGTTTTGTAATGGAGGAGTACGTATTTCAAAAATTACTCAGTCGACTGCCTTAGATATGGAATCGCAACATGTCCATACGTTTTTAACAGGCCGAATGGGGATTATCATTTTAGAAATCCTCGCATTTACCTAAGCAACTATAGTAACGCCTTTTGAATTCTTAGATGAGTTTTGCTTGCAGCAGACCGCACAAAACTATATTTCATATGTAATTAGAATGATCAAAAATACTATAATAAAATACTTACTGTAAACTAGATACTCAACTTGAATTTTACATATTTGTATAAATTTTTGGTATTCCAAATCTTATGTTCCTAAATGAAAGAAACTTATTTAGAAGGTACTAAGAATTCTCTTGACATATTAAGTTATAGATATAGCTGTAATATAGTTATACAATCCTTGTGTCATTTGATGTAATAAAGGTATCACCTTTATTATTCTTAGATAAATGACACGTCGACAAATACTCTTTCAAGATTCATTCAGAAAGTATCGAATTATCGAACGTGTCGGACATTCAAACAACGTACAAAGGTCGTATGGTAAATTACTATTAACTACTAGCTACTGGCGTATCTCTTATTTAAAGAAAACTAGTTCAAACTGTCACAAGCATCATAATTATAGTTAATTGGGTTAGATAAACTTTGACTCTACAAATAATAATTCCACACAATAAGTAAGACGCTTATAAGGCGTGATGTTTTTAAGAAAATGTTAAAAGTAATGAAATGAAAAAAGTAATGCTGCCCACAATTTTTATCATGATTTCAGTTATCACTCATTTTATAGTATATATATATAGATATAACATACTCAATAACAACATTGAAATTTTCTAAAACACACACTTATAGAAAGAAAACGTTTCTACCCTATTATGAACCTGAAAATATGAAAATGAACTTTATTAAGAATAAAAAAGCATTTTGATGCATCACTCTTTTATAAGAAATTTTCTGATTAAGATAGTGAATAAAGGTAAGTAATCTAAAGCTACATTCTTTTCATATATTTTTAGAACTCCATATCTCGTGTGATGCATACAAATGTTTACCGACGTTTTCATATCTGATAAGATCAAATGTTTTTCCACTCTGATGTGCACCTGCCTTGATCTGCAGTAAAATGAGGTGAGTAGAACCTGTCTCTACGTGACTTATTCGTCTGTAAGTTTTTAATTTTTTTTAACTTTTTCTTATAGTTTAGCTCACATAGTTACGATTAATCTAAAATTCTGAGTACAAAATACTTATAAAAAATCATTTATTCAAAATAAAGAGTATAATTAGAGTACATATTTTAGCGTCTTCCGTCATAACAAACTTAACTAAAAAAAACATACTTCAGTTTCTTGGCGGAGGATTGCTGTAACTTCACTAATTTGTAAAACTTTCTAAAGCCAAAACTTTGCAACTGTAATGACGAACTAAAATTATACGGAATATTTCTCCCGTGTGCATTTACTTTCAATTTATTGCAATTTTGTTTTGGCACAAAATACATCACAATTGTTTTATAGAAAAGTCGCTTCCAAGTAATACCTCCCAAGATTCCAATACGGCGTATAATTTACTCCAACTTTAATCGACTTACATTTAATATTTATACCGGTCATCTTGTCTCGCAACGTCAATACATTATATCTAGTGTTAAAAAATTCATGTACTGTATAAGTTCATCTGAGATGGAGTTTGCTTGGGGGCTTTGTGAGCAGATGTAGGTCATCGGTGCAGCCTGCAATGCGGCGCTTTGCCGCTACCGGCTCATCATAACGAACACTCTACTGAATTTTTTAAACCTACGACACGTTCGGTTTGCTCCAAGGAACATTCAAGAGTCATTGCTTCGAGAATTCTCTTTTGTTTCATAAATAATCTTATTCAAGGAAGTTTACGTGGACGTGAGATGGATGTAACACGATAGATAAATAAACATGAATACATATCAGTTTTTCGGACGATTGCGAACGTGTTCATGCTCCTACAATATTGATAAAATAAAGTAAACTTGCAAAGACATAAAAGTTTTATTCAAATTTCTAAGCATTTGACGAGAAGCAGTTTCCGTTAAGCGCAAATATTTTTTATTCTTAGGTGGTATGTCTCTGTAATGTTAATACATAGGTTTTTTTTTAAAATGGATGTAGTTATCAAATACATTTTAAGTTAAAAAACTGCACGACTGTAGTGGTTTATCGCTTTGTCCTATTTATGAATATTACTGATGTCTTAATTTATGCAAAAAAGAAGTAACTTTTGCTCTTGTGATTTTTCAATTTATTTAATGTTCCTTTGTTAAGAATATTTTTTCTACACAAAGGTACCTATGAAAAAGGTCCCCTATCATTTAAAAATTCATGATGTGTTTCAGAAGTTAAGGCGTGAAAACGTAGCATCCAAATAAACACACAAACTCACAATCTCTTAGTTAACATATTAGACTTATATTATGTTCAAATGTAGGAGATGGTCAATGAAATCCTAAAGAGGAAACATTGTTCCTAACAATATTTAAAATAAATTTGTAATGTTGGTGTTTATGTCAGTGGTAAGCGCGGGCGCAAATCTGTACAAATAGTGTCATTTATCGCGTTCCTCAACTCGACACCGGTGACACGCGTCGCCGCGTCAAATGAAGATGGAACGCCCACTTGCCGACCCTCGAAATAAATCTTTCTGTAAAAGTTTCACTCCACGGATTTAGAAAAGAAAATTTTCAAGATAAATTTTCTTTTAAAATGTCGCCATTACATTTTATTTCAGCTCGTATAAATTAGGACTTGCCTTATTAGCTACAGAGACTATTAATTTAGAAATGAATTCAATTTAAGTACCTAGAAACTTTATTTTTCTTATATTCGTATGAGCACGAAGCTTACCTGAGCGAAGTATTTTATCGGCAAA